CCCCCCGGTAATTTATTTTTCCCCTACGGGTGCTGTATGTATTCTATCAGCCTCCTTTATAACTCTCCGCAGGTGAGGCCCCCTTGGCTAACCACTCCCAGTTTGAGGTTAGGCATTGTAGCTTGGCCAATATTTTTTCAGGGTCTTATCACCCATTGCTCTCAGCAAACTAAACTTTGTAATAGTTTGTTTCTACTGTGAGCAGTGGCCTAGTTACCACTAAAGTGTTTAGTGACCCTTGTCCCCTTCCTGCCCCCATCAATTCTTATCTTTATGGCCTTGTTCAATGGTTTGTCCCTGGCCTTCCAGTTGAACATAATCATCTGATGGATCTTCCACCAGTCAAAGACAATCCATCCACTCCAGCCTGTCCATTTTCCTCACACTTTTAGCCCTCCCTCCACCGTCTGCCACAGTAAACTGGCATTTCAGCTTTGCTCAGAATTGGCCATAGCTTTTCCTATGTTTCTAGCAGCCATCTCCTGGGATCCTAGCCTATTTAAGTCCTACTATTTAAGCCCCACAACCCAAGGACCCAATGTGGTGCTATCAAACTTCTCCCTAATTTTGTCTTGACGTCTGTTATCAACACCCTCAGATTCCAGTCTCAAGTGTACTCCCACTTCTCCCAGCACATCCTGGCAAATTCTTGGGGCTCCTTTGGGGAATAGTGGCTTCTCCTCTCTGCTGGCCCAGCTGAGTTGTGCATAATCCTAATCTTCTAGTTACGTAACCCGAATTCTAGGCCTAGTAACCTGGGGATAGGACAAATCCTGAAGGGGGCGTATGCTGCCTGGGGAGGAGACCTCTGCATTGTCATCCAGCTCAGGAGTGGGATGGGGGATGCACGTCCCTAACAGAGAGGTGAGCTGATTGCAGGCTCAGAAAGTTCAGAAATCTGGGGAGTAAAAATCTGCAGCAGCATCCATTCAGATATCTCCATCTCACTTGTCAGGGTCCTGGGTTTTCCCCAACAGCGCCTCACCCTTTGCATAATAGACCTGCCTTGATTGGCAACTGTTTTTGCCATGCATCCATTCAGAGTATTAAATTCTGCGCTTGGTCCTGTTTTCTCAGCCCTGCTGCCGTAAGAGATGAAAGCTTTTTCTGCATGCATCCAGAGGCCCTCTGGCTTTCACACCTGGTTTCCTTTGCCTGTTATTGCCCTCGCCTATTCATGATGTTTCTATAGAATAAACCATCCAACCTTGTTAACCTCAGACCTGCAGTTTTCTGCATACTTCTCAAACGCCAGTCAGTCCAATAATGCATTTCTATTACTTCATCCCAATTCACTGCCAGCATTAAGTTGTAACAACTGGAACTTGTGCCAGCAACTGTCTGTTCTCCGACTTCACCATGAATGATGGGGTCTGGCTGCGTAACTTTGTGTCTACCACAATATTAATCTCTGCTATCTATTTCGCATATTAAGACCAAAAAAAATGAAGCAAACAGATTATACAAAAATATCAGAATGCTTTCCAAAGTTTACGAAATTGAGAACAAGAAATTAAATAAAATATCAAAAGTATGGAACTGTAATACTAGATTTATTCAAAAAGAAATGAAATTTTCTGGGTAAAGCATCTGTGTAATAATACTATTTCTGATTCTGTGTCTGAAAAATGGCTAGGTAGTCACCTTTGTCTATACATTTAGGCATTAATAGGTACTATTCAGCATGTACATTGTGAAGAAATAAATGAATCAGTTGTTAAAGCACACATATCATGACTATGTAAGATGACATGGAGATTTAATGAAAATTTAGCATAGAATATCTGACTTGTATTCTCTGGACAAAAAGGAAAAATACAATAACTCATTTTACCCATTACATTTTACAAAATCGGACGGAATGAATTTATAAGCAGTGTTTTTTCATAAAAACAGCAATTTAATTTCAAATATATTACCCTCCTATTCCTTTATCCTATATATGTATCTAATTGGCAAAACCTACCAGATTACTGAAATCAGTAAAATTCCAATCCATGATGCTTCAATTGCTTGTATCAATAAACATCTTACATTTGAAATTAATTTTTCTTATGCCATAAGCCTGATTAGCAGTTCCTATAAAAATGCTATGCCCCACTCCTTGCCCCAGTAAGTGTGACTAGTCTTTTGCACAAGGCTAAGCGACAGTACTTCTGAACATCCACACAGGATTCATCAAGCACACACTCCCCTGCTCCTCTCAGACAAGGTCACCAATGGGCAAGCAGCTCCCCTAATTCTCTTGTTCCTCATAGTGAGCATAGCCACTGGCGTAGGTCCTTCCTAAATTTAAATTAGTAAACAAATCTGATGACTCAGTATCTGAATCCTTTCCACCTTCGTCGTCATCTTCATCATCCTCTGCTTCATACTCATCCTCCTCATCGTGGTAGCTGGTATCACCATACTTATCAGATGAAAGGTTCTTCCAATAGGCATCATACCCAGAAGCTCCATCTCCCTCTTCACCTCCAGCCTGCCTGCCAAATTTCAGGGAGCGTGCTATAAAACACAGATATGTACATAGTACCATATTAGTTCCTGTTCTCTACATTCTCATTTGGCTCTATAATACATAAAATTACATGAACTTGATTGGCTGCTTCCTACCCCAGATGAAAAAGCAAGCCACAATTTTCCTACCTTCCTAATTTAATGTTTAATTGGGGAAAAAAGACCTTAACAAACAACAATCTATTCTATCCAACTTGGAGTCTACATACATACCACATGTAATAAATGATAAAGATAACAGTGTAATTTCATTAAACCTAGAAAGAGCTAGAAAACAAAACAGCACTCTCTAAACATAAATAACGCATGCTAAAATTAAAATAAAATGCCCTTTACTTGATCAATTAAAAGTTTATTTTTGAATCACAGAAGAGTTGATTTTCATGTCATTACATTTATTAGAGCAATTTTGTAATTCAGATATCCTAAAAGACAAAGCCTCTCATTTCTTCTAGCAACACAATAATTAGCGCAAAAAAATCAGCAAAATCATCAGTCTCACCTCATTTGATTAAGTAAAGTCATTTAGAATTATGGTTCCATTCTGATACGTTTGGTAAAGGGTCAAATTCTCTTTAACAAATTGTAAGCTGCATTACTATAAATGTTTATGGTAGTCTTACTCCTTCATAGAAAAGTTATATAAAAACCAGAAAGCAATTTCCTACAGTAGTGATGTAGTGCAGAGTAAGTATAGCTGCTCAAATACTATACACCTAAGAATAGCTTCAAAATGAATTCCAACTTTCAAGTACTAAAGATTACCAGCACTTAAATATTAAGGATTTATAGCTACTCAATTATTTAACAAGGAAGCCTCAGCGAAAAAAGAAAAATCCTTTTGGTCTTAAATTTCAGTATTCACTATGTCATTAAACTGAGGCAAATGCCAAATATCAAAGTGAATAATGGTTTATTTCTTAAGTTAAATTGAGAAATTTTACCCATATATTTTCCAAGGCTGTAAAATCCCACTTCTTTAAGAGAACACATTCATCTTTTCATATATGAAGAAGAGGCAAAAACAAAAATAGAAAGAAAGGAAAAAAAAGATAAATTTTGCCTAAGCATAAAAGCAAAATCAACCCACTGGTATTTTAAGAAGAGCCTTACTTGACATGCTAAGATCCTTAGTTTCCTGAGTTTCATGTCCACATTTAGGGCAGGGAGGTTGTTTTCCTTTTTCTTGTTTAAACACCTTGCTCCTTGAATGATCATCACAGAAACAAGCCTATACAGAGAAGTAAAAATAAACAATAAATAGTTTAAAAATACACAAATACACATCATGAACTATTTTAAGGAAATTTAAAGATATGGTTCATTAGGGCAGAAGAGTTTTATTGGGATTGGTCACACTCCTGACTTTAATTTCTTAAGGGAAATGGTCTCTGCCAGAACTCTTCAGAACTATGACCTAACACAAGGCAGAAATTATACACAGGGTATGCTATGTAGATACGTATATTCATTCACAAATATATTAGTATTCGCAAAGCCCTGATGACATAATGGTGAAGAGCCTATCTTACCTTCACATGGTCTGCAGTCTAACTGGGGACATAGACAAGTGGAGAGGCTACTACAAGACCCTTTATGTTGAAAGAGAAGTGCAGAGGAGGGGAACTAAACAAGATGCAGGATTCTGGAAAGAACATGACATCTTAGCTGAGATCTGAAGGAGAAAGGGCGTGCAGTAAAGATGGAAAAGAGATCTAAGGCAGAGGAAACAGCTTAGACAAAATTGGAAAAGAATGGAAAGAGAAGTGAGACAGGGTTAAGAATATAAGCAAAAACCAGAGAAATGTTTAAGAGGAAGTGAATCAGTTGCATCTATTTAGTGATCTCAGACAAACAGAAATGCTGGAGATAAGTTCCAAAGAAACAGAATGTTATGGAAATCTTCACTCTCCTAAGTAAGTGCATTTTGACATTAATTAAAATACACTCCAGCATTTTGTTCAGAATGTTTTCCATAAACATAAGGTGTGAAAACAGAGCTCAGATTCAGGAGGAATGTGCACTAGTGTCAACTCTAAGACAAGCCAAATGGATGGCCTTTACAAAGTCACGAAGCTCAATTCCACAATCTCTGAAATAAGAGAACTAAACTAAAATAATGTTTATGGATCCCTGCAGATTAATTATAGCTATAAATAACCCAAGAATTGGTGGTGAAGTATGGATTAAAAACAAAACCTAAAAATAAAAAATACGCAAGTATACCTTACAACGGAGACAAGAATGCTGACCAAGCCGATTGCACGAAACACCTGTGGGGAAAACACATAATGTCCAGACTAAACTTGGAATAAAAACACTACTTTCCACAGATTTGTACTTGAAGTACTATCTTACATCAATTGCTAACAGTTTTTGTTCTGTCTCATAATGCAACTAGAAGATACATAAAAATGAGACTGAATTCCCAGCCAGAGGGAAGGAAGCCAACAATTGCTATATTCCTTGAGATGGTCCTTTAACCTCTGAGAACTTCTATAAAAATACTGTAAGAGTTACATATATAAAGTTGATACATATGTCTTAGACATAGATATATCTAATAATGACATATATATATCAACTTTAAATTTATAGTGAATATAACGATTAACAATTGATACCAGAACAAGAACCAATTCAAGGAAGTGAATACCTGGGGAATTTCAGTCTTTCCCATGATGGTATTTACTATATAATAAAGGCTTTCAAAGTGCCAGGTACTATACTTATGCTTTTCTTTATATGGATTCTCATTGCAATGAACTCTTTAAAAAAGAAATTAGCACTTCCCATTTAAGGAAACTCAAGTTTAGAAAGATTTAGTGATTTCCCCTAAATCATATGGCCAACAAGTAGTAGTAGTATTTAACTCCAAAACTTGAGCTTTTGAGAATTAGAATAGAAATAAAATGCAATCCATCTGTGAAAATGATACCATCTACCGTCAGTAACACTGATTTCAAACGGGAAGATACTTGAGAATTATGTGTGCAGGTAAAATACATGTGCCTGGCACCCACCACAGACTTAAATATAGAATCTCCAGGGATGAGGTCTGAGTACCTGTACTTTTAAAAACCTCTACAGGTGTCTTTGATGCATACTCCTGTCTAAAATCACTGGAAACCCGGGGGCATGTGGAAGTGTGTGGGGGTGAAGGGAGTTGTTATAGTAACTTGGAGGTGAAAATGACATTTTGTATTCAGGACTAGTAATGATCATTCCCACAAAATGAAGAATTGGCCCAATCAAAATATCAGAGGCACCTCTGTTGAAAAGAGAAAATAGATATTATGACTTCTTTCTATAAACAGAAAATAGATATTGAGCTAAATACAGTCCATAAGAGGCTACATAAAAAACTAGATTCCTTTTTAATTGTTTAACACTTAGACTATTAAGAAACTTGAATATAAAGAATACTTAATGTATAAAAACTTACATTTAAACGTTTCCGCCTCTAAAACCTGACAGCTGGCTTGATGTTCAAATTGATCATCTTCACAGAGAAAGTTCTGGCAAAAAGAACAACTGAATATTCTGCCTCCTATTGGATTAAAAAACAAAACCTCATAATGTATATACGATAAGCTTTCATTTAAAAAACTCTTATCTATAAAACTGCTCAAAAAGGATGGCAAGTTATTTCAGATTTACACCAAAATGACACAGGAGTTTTTGTTCTGGTACAGGCTACAATGAAAACTGCCAAAATGAATCATAAAGAAGTGGACTCTCACTATCCCCTGGCTACACATATGTAAAACAAAGCTCAGGGACACTTGCTTTCCTGTAACTCCCTTCCCTACCTGTTTTGGTAAACAATCCAAATGACTGATACTGATAGCATAAGTCCCTTTTCCAACTAAACTGATAACCAAAACAGTGCCAGTAGTTAGGATTGACAGCATCCTGAAAAAAATCTTAAAGAGTATCCAGGATGTTTCAAAGTCAGCCTTCACTCAAAGCAAAGTTCGCTGCCTGTATGTAATCACTCACCATGGTCCCAGACGCCTCGTTCACATTCTACACACTCGGCATCGGTAAGAGGGCAGGCACAGGCATGTGTGCTGAGACATTTCCGACCATGACAAACCCATGCTTCACAGAAGTCACATATTGCACCCTGCAACCAAGGAGCATGAGAAATTAACCTTTGTCACTTGACTGGCTGCAGCCATTGTCTAGCCCAGCAATTTTCAACCAGTGAGCCATATGGAAAGGATTACCTAGCCATATGGAGAGGCACTGTGCCCAACCCACATCCAAACCAGGACACTTGGCAGGGAGTGAGCTGAGAGAATAAAGACCCAGATGGTATTCTCCTTCTACCTTAAGGTATCCTGCCAGGGTCTCCCAATGACGGAACCAAAGGGAAGCCATAAGGTAAGAAAGCCATGATCCAGTCAGGCTCCCAGGGCAAAGCAGAGAGGAGAAGAGGGAAAGGAGAGGGAATTTTGATGGGCAAATCACTTTTCTAGAATTTATAACTAATGACTCATGATTCTACTTAAATGTTTTCTTTATATAAGACCATACAGACTCATACAACTCAGTGAATTAAAGGGTCTGATAAATTTAGACATAAGCAAGCTACCAAGGAAGATTACAATGGTTTCTGAATCTTCAATTGGTTTTTAAAAGATAACACTGATAATTCTATATTTAAAATAAAGAGGAATTCACAAGATGATTATGAATAATTCTAGCTCCTTGCATCCATAAGATAAGCACACATGAAATATATCACATAAAGATCTGCCTCATGATGGAAAATTATATGTTCTTGGAAAGTTACTACAAATAAAATATTCTGCTTTATTTAAAATAGTATTATTTTCATTGTGGACTGAAATTTGGAATAGAGTATAAAAATCACACAATAGAATACAGTAAAACTGGTTAAAAGGATAACTTTTTAGTGAAAAAGAGAGCAAATGTGTCACACAAAACATGTTTTTATTATATAAAACAACAAATTTCCTTAGAAAAGTTCTACATGTAATGAAGTTATGTACAACTCTTTAGTATGTACTTTAAGCGTTAGAAAAACTATTAATCCTAGGTTATTTTGGAATGAGGTTGCTTAGTAAAAAACTTGAACCTTAGTTAAGCAGGGCTTTCAGTGTAGTAAATGAAGTCTAATTAAGACACACTAGAAAGGTACCACTGACAAATGAATTTTTTTTAAGTCAACATTAAATAAGTTTCCATCCCTTGTATGTTTCCAAATAAGAAAAAAAGGAGGCAATCAAAACCAAGTGGGTAATAAAAGAAAATCATACAAAAAGCATGCCACAAATAATCCAAGTAACTCCAGACTGACTGAACCAAGGGACAAAGCAGTATAAAATACAGTGGTTATAAAAAATAACTAATGGGCCTGGCCAGTTTGGCTCAGTGGTTAGAGTGTTGGTCCAAGAACCGAAGGGCATCTCAGGTTTAACTGCCTGTCAAGGGCACATACTTTGGTTGCAGGTTTGAACCCTGCCATGGTCAGGATGTGTGCAGGAGGCAACCAATCTACATGCCTCTGTCACATCAATGTTTCTCTCTCTCTCCCCCCCTCCTCCCTCCCCTCTCCTCTATCTGAAAAATCAATGGAAAAAATATCCTCCAGGAAGGATTAAAAATAAATAAATATATAAATAAATGATAGATAGATGATAGATAGATAGATAGATAGATAGATAGATAGATAGATAGATAGATAGATAGATAGATAGATAGATAGATAGATAACCATTGGTCAGAATGACATTTTGTTATCCTCGGACACGTACTAGTTTAAGACAGTGACTTTCAACCTTTTTTCATCCCATGACACATAAACTAATTGCCAAAAAATATATTTGCCAATCTGACAAAGTATGTATTAATTTGGATTCATTCACACCAGACGGCTATTTGTTGTGTTGGCTGTTGTCATTTTTTAATTTGACAATTTAGAGAAAAGAGGTCAGTGCCCATGACTAATTAGTAAGGTTTTAAAAATTCTTGCCCCACACCGATTGAAAATCACTGGTCTAAGAGATGATGAGATGCTTACCACCATTGCAAGGCCAGTACTGTATACACCAGCATGCTTTATGACACAGTCTGAAGACTTCATCATGCACTTTGTCTTCCCTAGTAAAGAAACAAATTTGTACTATTAGCCTGGCAAAGCAGTACATGGAAATATCCATTAATTCTTCTCTTTATCTAGCCTAGGTTACTATGAAATTAGCAGTTTGCTGCTTACATAACCAAAAATAGAAAATGAATATAACTGAGATCTCATTATCTGAGTCAGATCTTTTGAGATCAGAAATTTATTAAAAATCAATTGCACAATAAAGTTATATAATTCATATTTGTACTAAAATCAGAAATTGCAGGTTATGTTTCGTAACCAAACCATCATTGTAGTTTAAAATCTTGTAAATTTTCTGATGAATTAAAGCAGATTTTAAAATACTATGCTTTAAAAGACGTTAACCTTTCATAATTCACAATAAAAAGTCTGTTTTAAAGTTATTGCTTATTTCTTTCTACAGAGTATCTTAAACCAAACCAAACCAGGTTATATATCCTATCTTGCTCACTTTTTAAGTTTATCCATATGTAAAAGTTTAGACATAGCCTCCAAATAAACATTTTTCCAACAGAATTTTCAAATAGTCCCCAAGTGAGCATAAAAACCAGCAATACAGTGATAGAGCTAAAAATCACCATACAGCCACAAAAACTCTGATATAGCAGCTAATTACCATCCTAAAACACTGTCAGGAAATTCGCTTATCATATACTATGGGAAGATTAATGATGACATAGTAATCACCCATCTCAGACTCCACAAAGTAGAACATGAAAGAAACAGAAGATACTCAATTTTCCATTATCCTGATTACCTGAGGAACAAAGCTAGACAACAGGAAATGAGAAGAAAGAGAAATTGGAAATGAGAAGCAGAGACTACCCAACTATTCCACGTCTAACACTAAGTACAAAATAAGTGAGAAATGAATCCACGGATAGCACTATAAAATTTAAGCTCACAAACACTGAAATTATGGGAAGGTCCTAGCAAGAACTTAATCTTTTCCATAAACTATTTTCTCATTCTATATTAATTTCTTTTGTAAAATAAGGATATAAAAGCTGGTAGATAAGTGGTCTACCTAAGCCAGGATTATCTTTTTCATTAATTATAAACCTCAATGATGTCTTGTTTGAAAGCTAGAACTACACTAGAAATGTAACCCTAAACATTCCTAACTTTCTGCAATGTTATGATACATAAACACATTTAAATGAGCACATCCCAAAATGTGTTCCACCTGAAATTATTATCCCAGAACCAAAAGGGATATTTGTTCAAATAAAGGTTTGGGAAGAAAATCTGTATTTCTTTACTAGAGGTTTTCAGAAACTTTAACATATAAATATGTAACAGAAATCTCCCAGATGGGAAGGGGGTGAAACATGCAGCATTTCTCAAATGTATACACTGTACTCAGAAATACTTATTAATATTGAAAGTATCCTAAGGAAGACTATTTGACAAACACCAATCTAGTTCTGTGAACTACCATTTAGTTTTACTCTGAATGATCACTTATTTACTCTTAATAAATTTTCACTTATACTTTGGAACTGAGTACATGGCTTAGGAACTCTATTCTAATCACTTGGGAATCCATGTGAGGAAATTAAAGAGTCATATGCTAATGCCAAACAGAAAACAAATTATCAGAAAAACTGGCACCAGATAAATGTGGAATGAAGTTACTCCCAATGGTCTAACATACTGCAGGTAAGATCAGCAGGAATCAAAATTTAGAAAAGTAAACAAATGGCTATCCACAATACTAAGGTAGTATCATTAAAAATTCAGGATCACCAAGTTGTTATTAGGCTGAAATCTGATCTTTTAATGTTTAAAACATGTTGGTAGCCCTGGCCGGTGTGGCTTAGTTGGCTGGGCGTCGTTCTGTGCACTGAAAGTTGCTGATTTGATTCCTGGTCAGGGAATATGCCTGGGTTCTGGGTTCAGTCCCCAGTAGGGGGTATGCAGGAGGCAGCAGATATGTTTCTCTCTCTCTCCCCTCACACTCTGTAAAAATCAATAAAAAAAACCTTAAGAACAAAGCAAAAACATGTTGGTAACCTATATATAACCTGTATCTTAATCATTTTCCAGCATTATATCAAAAAGTCAAAATCAAGACTTGATAGTGTTTTGGTAGACCAAATAATATTTAATGTTATTTTATAAAGGTAAAGCATAACATTATTGAAAACAATGATAAACCCAGTTTCAAACAGATTAACTGCCAAACAAATGTTTGATAAAAGGCAGGTGCCCTTAGTTATCATATATACTTACCACACTGCGCACAAATTGGTAACTTCTGTACAGAATTACAAAAATAGCAAAACGCTCTATTCTTCTGCCGCCTTGTCATGTAAAATAAAATTTTAAAATATAGTCAATATCAGATAAAAGATCAAAGGATCTATATTATTACATATAGATAAAGAAATAAAAATTTACCTCTGACACTTGTCACATTCCTGTAAAATATAAACATGACATTAATTTTCTACTGGCTGAAAATTATAAATTTTCATTATAAAGAATATCCTGGTCTTCATGTTAAAATTTAAATGACACTTGCCCAAACCCTCCAACATCCCCCAGTGTACAAGCATCTACACATAACAAAGGTATGCTCTTTCGAATAACACCCTAAAGAAAGAAGTGGCATTTTTACAAAAGAGGGTAAATACAGAGGTAGTTTGTTTTTTTAATGAATCACAGAAATAATAAAGAATAGAGACAAGAAACAGTGGCGAAACCAATATGATGAAGCTTACAGAAAATCCAAAATCTTAAACATGGTATTAAAAATTCTCAACAATCTGGTCTCTACTTTTCAAACCTTGCTGGCCTATTCTCTTCAGATTCAAGTCACTATTGGTTAGTCATTCTCAAAATATGCCTTGTACTCTCTTTTTTTATGCCTTACTTATTCTAATACTTTGCCTTGAAAAGTCCCTCCTCACAGTTTTTACCTGTTGGAAGTCCTGGTGATGATCCCATCTCTTCTGTAAACTATACCCCATCCGCACATTCAACTTTATCACCTCTTAGTCCTAACTGCACCTCTACTGCCAACACCTACCAAGTCTGGCCGTCATTTTATGTACTCATGTATGGGAGTCACTTCTTGTTTTGTCTGCCCAATACCCCTTGTCTCTAGAAATGACCCTGACACACAGAAGGGAGCCCCCACTGTCCTACCTGTGCTATGTAATCCTGCTCCCCCACTCCAGCCATAAATGTTAGTCCTGGAAATGGCACCCACCACATTCAAAGAATCAGAGTTCTTTCCCCCTTTGAGGGCAACAATATGTGATGTGAGACATGCGAGTTATCAGTGCCTATGAACCCAAACAAATGGAGTAAGGCAACCTGAGAAAAGGGAAATAATAAGCAAAAAGGAATACAAGCAAAAGACAGAACTACAAGGGTGTTCCAGTTGTCACTGTTTCAGCTATATCCTTGCCCTGCCCAACTACACAAGTTAATCCACTATTCATTCAGTAAACTATTTCTCCCAGTTATTTAGGTTGAATTTGTAATTTACAAACAAACAGTTCTTAAGTAATGCACAAAACAACTGATCCATAAGCTTGTGAAAACAGGACTGTGTCATTCACCTATGTATCCCCCACAGCAGCTAAAATAGTAACAGGCACAGAGTAGATGCACAGCAGTTTGTGCAATTAAGTCATGTTAAACATTTCATATGTGTTTAATTAAACAAAAGAAGAAAAAAAGAGAAGCAGTGGGAATAGGAAAAATAGAAGTAGAAATAGAGAAATGTGGGACAACTCAGAGAAATATGGTCAAAGAAAGAAAAGGAGTAATGCTGACATAAATAATCTCTTGCTTTTCACAACTTTGACTAGGTGATCAGGACTAACCCATCTGGCACAGGGAAATAAGGTAGTAGAACAGGAAAGCAAAAGAGATGTCAAGAACAGTGGAAAGTTTAGAAATGAGAAATCAAATGAGTTAAAAAGAATTGCTAAGAGACAATGATGAAAAGGCTCCAACTAATCGGACAAATTGAATTAAAGTACATGAGGTGAGAGAAGCTGGAAAATTTTTTGCAGATATCTTAGTATATATTCTTGGTCAATAAGTATTTATCACCTACAGTAGCCAAAGTAATATGCTAGGTTTTATAAATAACAGAAAATCAAACAAAAATCATGGCTACTCAGTGTTAATGAAAACAACAAACATGTCTCTAACACAGATTTCAAAATCAGTAACATATATGCAGCAACACTGTATTCACTAAAATTTTTTTCCGGTGTTTTTCAGATATCTGATAGTTTTTCAACTATCAACTGCTATCATAAAAAGCTGTTACCATTGAAGCGTTGCATGGGTGTTTAGCTAAATCTATGGTGCCTCTCGATGCTCGCAGCTGTTTTTCACGTTCCCGGCGGTTCTCTGCCTTCTTCCTCGCACCAGTCTTTTTTTTAGGCATTTTCTCCCTCTTTCAACACAGGAAAACAGAGAAGGTATAATTGCCAGGTTGCATTTGCTATTTTAAATAAACTAAGAAATTCATTCTCATTAAATTTTAAACTCAACCCTGTCATTTTGACAGTTAAGCAACTTTAAGCCTTTATGAAGCACTAAGCACACATTATCCCAAATAAAATAGATGCCTTTTAAATAATGCACTTATTTGCACTACCAAACAATTCTAACAAGTGTAAATACACACACACACAAAAATCATCCAAGTTTTCTTTCCCACGGAAAAAGGTTTCCCTGATGTTGAGTATTCTTTAAAAATTATTCTGTACCAAGTTAAAAAAATTATTAGGAAGAAATCATTAACAAGAAATCATTAAAAAGTATATAATATATGCAGTTTTTATCACTTTTTGAACTATATATTCAAATGACTTGATGCTGACAAGACCTGAAGATTAACAAGTCATATTTCTCCTATGTAATATTTAAACATCTACTATTTAAGTCAAATGACATCAACTACAAAGCCAAACTAGTCTCCTAAAAAGATATTAAAGGTATTATAGTTGCTTTGACTCTGAAAGCTGCCCTCCTGTCTACATGCAATGAGCATATTCAGGGAGGGCAAAAGTATGCAGTTGTAATACAAATAAATAATACATTAATAAACAATATGAGAATAAACTTTTAGTTACTCTAAACTGTAAACCTACTTTTGCCCACCCCTGTACATTGTCTTCGCTTAACCTTGTGCACAGGTCCTACCACTTTCAGTGAAACGACTTATAATGAAACCAATTTTTATCAATGGCTAATTGACAAAAAGGGGAGTTAAGTTCCTAACCATCTCATGGTTACAACTAAATGACTTGAACAAAATGTTATTCTATGACCTGCTGTAATTTTAACAGGGTTCAAATTTATAAGAGTATATCTTTACCACATATTAAAATAATGACTTTAAAACTTTAAATGGCTTTCATTACTTAGCTGAAAGAACTACTACATTTAATAAAACGAGGTTCTTGCTAAATAACATTTTTATTTGGTTTTTCATCAGTCTGAAAACTGCAAGTTCCCTGAGGATTCCAGCTCCATCTTTCTTCGATGGATGTTTGCCTCCCAGCTCTGCCTGACGTATATTAAGCACTCAATAAACCAAGAGATACACTAATGAAAGGGTCTATGTGCTTGCTTTGACATCAGAATCTCAAATTTCTTAATATTCTTCAAAATACATATTTTTAAAGTCTCTCCTCAGAGTGATTCCCAAAAATAAACTGTAGAAATTCCTAAAAATACAGATTTAGACTTCTCGGCCCTACTCAAGATCTAGGAATTCCAAACCTCCAAGGATGGGCTCAAGTTTCCCTGCGACTGTGACACACAACCTCCCTGAAGGCATAAACGTTCTGATGCAAAGAAATCAAAGCGTGTCCATGATACATGGACAGAGTTCAAGCAAGCACACCATCAAGAGATTTGTATTTCTTTTTCAAAGGGCATATTACAGACAGCAAAATCATGCACCACCTTGTACTGAAAACAACACGAAGCTCACTCATAAACTTTTCCTATTTGGGGTTTCAACGCTTATGTTAGAATATCCAGTAAGAAAACAAGTGATGGGAAGTTGAGACTTAAAAAAAAAGAAAAAGAAAGACAAATCAAGCCAGGAAGTTTAGTAGGTGGTTACTCAAGTAATGTCCAAGCCCAGCAGGTCACCCTTCCAGTATTTCACATGACAAAATCAACAGGGTGAAAAAAAACACGTGTCCTGCTGCGGCCAACTGAGCTGGGAAAATCATCCCGGGGCGATCACATGGCCGAACTCTCTACGTCCCCAGGGGTGAAGCCGCTGAGAAAGTGGGGCCTCCACTTTTCCCTCCAGCTTGTTTTGGAAATTTAAAGAATAAATTCTTTTTCTCAGCCTTCTGTGGGGTTTAAGCCCTTGTCCAGGAACGCTCCGACTTCTTCAGGCCGTGGCCCGTGTCACCGCGGCTTTGGGGGGAAAGCCTGACG